TGGCTGCTCCAGACATAGCAGGGACCCATGCCCTCCGACTGGAAGTGAGTGGCTTTCTTCACTCACCAGTCTGCAGCTTGGGGAGGTGGTACTGCCACAGGAAGCAGCCAGTCATGGCCACTGAGAACAGGAAGAGGAAGCCACTGAGGGCCCGAAAAAACCATTTCTTTTTCCCTTTTAGGAGACAGGGCTGGTGGCAGGCCTAGAGAAGCAAAGACATGGGTCATGAACTCTAGGATGAGCAAGGAGAGGAAGGTATGCTTGCTGCAATGCTGCCCCGTGAAGCCAAGGGTCTCCCCAGGGTAAGTGCCTCATCAGCCCTACACACCTGGTCTGGCTCTGATGCCCTCAACTCACCTCACCTCACATGTGCTTATCAAGATATCCCGAGCCCCACTGAAAGGGAAATCTTAGGACAAATGACTTTACCTCTTGGAGCCTGACCACTGCCCCTCCCCCTGGAAAGCAGATGATTGAATCCCTTAGAAAGCTGTGCAGAAAGCAGGGACCAATGAGCAGTCATGTAACAACAACAAGTGTTAGCACAGCTGTCACAGTTGCTGTGATTGCTCCACAGAGACACAGGTAAGGACGGAGGCTCTGGTGAGGGGTGCAGGTGGAGCAGCCATGGTGGGAAGGAGGGTAGAGGCACTGAACAGGTGGCTGGGGAGGAACAGGGATGCTGACAAAGACATGTGTGATTTCCGGTTTGAGCCTCACCCGAGTCTTCATCCTCCCCAAGGCATAGAAGATTCCTGCTCCTTGAGGATTCTGGCCTGTAGCCCAAGAGACTCTGTGGGCAAGAAACAGAGAGAGAGAGGAGCAAATACAAAGGGAGGTGGGAGTGGTGGGGAGACAGGGCCTGGAGAGGTGGCTCAGAGGTTAAGATCACTGACTGCTATTCTGGAGGACCCAGGTTCAATTCCCTTCATCCAAGCTCACAACTGTCTGTAACCCCAGTTCCAGGGCATCTGACACAAACACACATGTAGGCAACGCTCTCCTACATATATAAAAAAAAAACCAAACAAACAAAAAAAACTGTCCTGGGGCAAGAGGGGAACACACAATAGCTAGAAAAAAAAGGTAAGATTTGGATGTTGGGGAAAGGGGTTCCTTACTTCTGAATCTCAGAAGCCTCATCCTGGAAGTGCCATTTTTCCCACTGGAAGACCTACATTCTCCCAAACCCTTCTACCTCAGACAATCTACCAACAGATCCAGGCATTTAATTCCGGATCCCCACCCCAGGCTGCCTCACAATGACCTGCCCAGCCCACGATTCTCACATCTTACCCACTTCCAGAAGAACAATAGGCCCACAATGCAGGTCTTTCACAGGGTTCCCTGTGTTCCAAGAGACAGAAGAGTCCTCCTGGGTTCTCAGCATGGGCTTTTACCCAAATGCCCAGTGGTGACAGATGTGGACCTCATTTCTCCAGTGCTAATCCCTCTGCCCTCTGCCTAGAGGATTAGCTCCCAGAAGCCCCAGCAGCAGGTAAGCTGGGCAGAAGTGTCAGATTGCTGCATACTCCATGTGGCCTCAGAAGCTATAGTTTGGTGTGTGTGTGTGTGTGTGTGTGTGTGTGTGTGTGTGTGTGTGTATGAGCTCTCTCTCCAGGAATCTCTGCGGACCCAGGGTAGAAAAGAAGTGACAAAAAATGATGTGACCCACAGGCCCTAAGACCCATTTGAAAGCTAGTTCACTAGTCACCTCTGAGGAGCATAGGGTGCCACCTTCCTATTAAATTCTCAGAAGCACCATGGTGACCTGGAGTGGCACGCTCTCTTGGTGTCTCTGTAAATGAGAACAATAATAACCATACCTAGTTAAGCAGCACGATGATTGTAAAGCAAGGATCCTGGGACCTGGCTCCCAGGGACCGCTCTGCCAAGGCTGGCTCTCGTGCATTGGCTTTGGTATCAAACCCCGGACCTGCCCTAAGGCTGACTTTAGGTTTTTTTGTTTTTGTTTTGTTTTGTTTTTTTTGTTTGTTTGTTTGTTTTGTTTTTAATGGAATTTCTGGAATGTCAGAAGACAACTTGCAAGAGCTGGTCTTTCCACTGTGTGGGTCTCAGGGATTGAACTCAGGTCCTCAGGCTTGGTGGCAAGCACCTTGACCTGCTGAGCCATCTTAAAGGCCCCTGTCTGTGTCTTTGACCTGCATGGCAGTTGCACAAAGTGGGATCTACATTGTCGCACTTCCCATTCAGAGATGTGAAGTTCCCAGGAAGTGTGAGGCTGAAGTTGGAGCACAGCAGCCCCCTAGGAACGCCTTCCTTACCCCACATCTGACCGACCATGAGGTCCCCCAGGGCAAAGACAGCATGTCAAAGATAGTGCTGATGATCTGAGTCAGACAACTCGCTGCAGGAGCCTGCAAGCCTCCCCTTCTGGATATCCTCCTGGATACTTACTTACCTTTGTTTTTGTTTTTTGAGACAAGGTTTTTCTGTGTAACTTTGTAGCCTGTCCTGGAACTAGCTCTTGTAGATCAGACTGGTCTCCAACAGAGATCCGACTGCCTCTGCTTCCCAAGTGCTGGGATCAGCTCTGGATACTTAACTCCAGACCAGCAATTTTTCACCTGCAAGCCAGGGTTATTCCCAATTCAGCCAGAAGAGAATCATACCATGTCATACAGCAATATCACCACTAGGTGGCAGCAGATACACGTGGGTAAAATCTCGGTCAGCTTCCGCATGTTTTTTACTGGAGAATTGCTCTTCAGGCTCTGTACCCATGAAACAAGAATGCTCTTCCCCCCCCCCCCCCCCCCCCCGTCTCTCTCTCTCTCTCTCTCTCTCTCTCTCTCTCTCTCACACACACACACACATACACACACACGAAGAAAAATGACTGACAAACTGCCAATACAAGAAGACAGTTAAACTTTCCTGCTTTGCTGAGGAGTCTGCCAGACACACTATGGCCTATGGGCTGAAGATGGAAGATTACAGAAGAACTTCGGGTGACTGGCCAGGCAGTGAGTTGTCTCTGTCATTTCTAGAGTTTATATATTATCCTTCTGTGGTCTTTGATGGAGTTGAAGACAGATAGTTATGGTTATAGTTTTCCTTAATTAGGATTAAAGATAAGTTACATATAGGACTTTAGACTCACAAAGATAGAATAGATGATGGAATATTTTCTTAAATCTTACTAAATATTAATGGACTAAATATTGTTAACTGTGATTCTTATTTGATAACTGTTGTGTGATATATTTTGCTATATTAAGGTTAAAATCCTTCTTTTTATTTAGACAGAAAAGAGATGATAGGAGATGTCATTTTGTAAATATGTTTCTTATACTGGTTAATGAATAAAGCACTGTTGGCCAATAGGAAAGCAAAATAGGAGGGACTAGGAGACAAGGAGGAGAAAAGAAGTAGTAAGGAGGAGTCAGCATGGAGAGACTGGAGAGAACTGAGGTCCAGGCCCACTCTCCGGTAAGATGAGACCTGGAAATACTTAGATTAATAGAAATGGGTTAATAAGATAGAGCTAACTTATAAGAAACAAGTACCTGACCAACAGCATTTATATCTAATACAGAGTCTCTGTGTGTTGTCTGGGGCTGGCACTGCCGTGGCTCCAGGCCAGCAGGAAAAACCTACTTGTAACAAAGCACTCTACCAACCAAGCTAATTCCCAGGCTCCATTCATAACTTGTAAACCTTTCTTTCATTTATTTAGACTAATATACAAGAATATAGCTATCAAAGCATGGGCTGGAGAGATTGTAGTGGTTTAGAGCTCTGGCTGCTCTTCTGGAGGACATGGGTTCAACTGAGGAATTATCTCTACCAGATTGGTTCATGGGCATTTTTTGTTCATTATTTTCATGTGTGTGTGTGTGTGTGTGTGTGTGTGTGTGTGTGTGTGTTTTAATTGCTAATTGATGTAAGAGGGCCAGGCTGGCTGTGGGCAGCATCTCTGGGAAGTAGGCCTGGGCTTTATAAGGTAGTTAAGGACTAGATGTGGCGGCGCACGCCTTTAGTCCCAGCACGCAGGAAGCAGAGGCAGGTGGATCTCTGTGAGTTTGAAGCCAGCCTTGTCTTCAGAGTGAGTTCCAGGCCAGTTGGGTCTATATGGTGAGACTCTGTCTCAAAAGAAAAAATAAAATAAAAAGAAAGGTGGTTGACTGAGCCGGTAGGCAGTATTCCTCCATGGTCTGTGCTTCAGATCTTGAGTTTCTTGAGTTCATGCCTTAGTTTCCCTTGATGATATAACCTGTAAGCCAAATAAACCTTTTCCTTTCCAGATTGCTTTGAATCATGGATTTTGTTATGTTTTCTTTTCTTTTTTACAGCAACAGTCTGGGACTGGGCTGGTTACCTCAAGAGAAGGAGAGAAGGCATTTGCTGTTTTTATTTTATTTATTTATTATTTTGGGTACATGTTCATGTGTATGTTTGTGACAAGTGTGAAGGTTAGAGGACAATTTGCAGGAGTCAGTTTTCTTCCCCAACTAAGTGAGTTCTAGGAATTGAACTCAGGTTGCCAGGGTAACTTGGTGCGAGGGAAGTGTCTTAACCTGATGAGCCAAAAAGAGTGTTGTTTTGCTTTGTTTATTTTGGAAATACCGGGGATTGAACCCAAGACCTTGTGTATCCTAGGCAAGTGCTCTATCACTGAGCTACATCCCTAATGCAGGAGAAGTTTTTATAAAGCAGCTTTGGCTTTCCTGGCTCTCTTTTACTTCCTTTCTCACCAAGTGATTTCTGTCTGCCTGTCTGTCTCTGTCTGCCTATTTCTCTCTCTCTCTCTCTCTCTCTCACATACACACACACACACACACACACACAAACACAACACACAAACACACTGTGATGCTGTCCTCTTTGAATCCTCTTTGAAGCCCTCACAAACAGCCACTGCTAGCTTCACAGTCTTGAACCTCCACTATAAATTAAACCAAACTTCTTTATAAGTTCCCAGGCTCAGATCTTTTGTTATAGCAGCAACAACAACAAAACCAGACTCATACACTGGGTGAAGATCACATCAGTAGAGGCTATCCCATTTCAATTACATTCACTAGGGCTATTGGTAGCATAGTTAGAGATGATGGAGAAAGCAGAGCCATTCCTTCTTGTCCTGTGCAGCCTCCTGGAGAAGTTCTGGTGTCTGCTGCTCCACCGGCGACGCTGCCGATTCATTTTATTCCATATGATGAGCATCTGATTTTCCAAGACCTTCAGCTTCATCTCATTGAACAACAGCCGTTCAAGGACAATACCCTGGAGGGAGAAGCAAGCATTCATTTTCTCCAGCTCTTTCTTGTTCATAACATTGTTGTTAGGATTGAATTCTGGAGCCATTTTTTCTGCCACCTCCTAAGAGCCCCATCTGAAGGAAAGAGTCAATTCATAATGATAATTCCTTCCAACACAGAACATTTGCTCCAGGCCAGGTTAATTTTATTTTTCATCTCTGGGACAGAATCTCATTTAGCGCAGGATGGCCTGGAACTCACTACATAGCCCAGGATAACCTTGGACTCCGCATCCTCCTGCCTCTACCTCTCCAGGTCTGGGCTTACACATGTACATCTGTACATCTAGCTTATACAGTGCTTGGGAGGGAACCCCCAGGGCTTCATGTATGTTAGGCTCGACCTACTGAGCTACATTCCCAGCCCTTCGGGCCATTTTATCAATTCTCAGGCCCTCTGCCAAGATGAGAGCATCTTTGCCATAATTTGTGGTTGGGAAAACTGGGGTCCAGTGAGGGAAAGTCACTTTCTTATCAACCTACAGCCAACACTTCCTTCTCCAAAGGTCTAACACCCATGGTTGTGTTTGTTTCATAGGAATGGTCTGCTGGTTGTAGAAGACACAAAGCCCTGGTGTTATGAGTAAGGTTTTTCCGCCAGCCTGGTCCCAGAGCCGCACCAGCCCCAAATAACACAGAGACTCTGTAGTTGATATAATGCTGTTGGCCAGTTACTTGTTTCTTATAGACTAGCTCTGTCTTTAATATTAACCCATTTCTATTAATCTAAGTATTTCTACATGGTCTCATCTTACCGGAGAGAGGGGCCAGCGTTCTGCTCTCTCTTCTCCATGATGAATCTCCTCCTCTCTCCTCCTAGTCTCCTAGTCCTGCCTATCTTGCTTTCCTATTGGCCAACAGTGTTTTTATTCATTAACCAATACGAGAAACATATTTACAGAATGACATCTCCCATCACCCTGGGTGGACAAGATGGTTCAATGGTTAAGGTTCTTGCTAGCAAGCGGGTCATGATGAGTCTGACCCCCAGGACCCACACAGTGAAAAGAGAGCTGACTCCTTCAGACTGTCATCCCAACATGCAATGTGCCTCAAGGTTAGCCACACACTAAAGAAAAAAATTAATGCCATTAGCATACATATGTATATGTCTGTCTCCAAAATCTTTATTTTCCAATTTCTTTTGGAGCATTTTGCCAGAATCAGTAAAACCTCAAACTACAGCATCCTAGTGGTCTCTAGACATACTCAGCATTCAGTCCTCACAAGTTCTCATGTGCCCTCCCTCCAGTTTATAGCAACATACCCCCTTTGGATTAAGCTACAAACTACTGGTCTTTAAAAACTGGACACATGTATTTATTTATTTATTTATTTATTCAGAGTATGTGTGTATAAGTCAATTCTAACTTAGATCATCAGGCTTGGTAGCAAGTGCCTTTCCCCACCGAACCATCTTGCCAGCCCAAACTGGTGGTCTTAAGAAATACTTTAGTCGGGTGGTGGTGATGGCTCACCACTTTGATCCCAGCTCTTGGGAGGCAGAGGCAGGAGGATCTTTAAGTTTGAGACCAGCCTGGTCTACAGATGAGTTTCAAGACAGCCAGAGCTGTGACATAGAGAAACCCTGCCTCAAACAAACAAACAAAAACAGAAAGAAATACTTTAAAACTAATTATTTCAGGACGGGATCTAGCTCAGTTGCTGGGCTTTTGCTTGGCATAACTAACTAAAGTCCTGGAGTTTGAACTCTAGCAGTATATAATCTAGTTGTGGTGACACACACACCTATAACTCTAGCACTCAGGAGATAGAAGCAGAAGGATTAGGGGTTCAAAGTCAGCCTGGGATATATCAAACCCTACCTCAAAAAACAAAGTAAAAAGATGTGGGTTGGGGGAACCAGTAAATATTATGCCAAATTCCCACCTTTCTCGTGTAAACTTAAGAAATCAAATAAAGGGTGGGCTGGAGAGATTGTTCAATGGTTAAGAGCACTGGGTTGCTCTTCCAGAGGTCCTGAGTTCAACTCCCAGCACCTATATGGTGGCTCACAACCACCTATAATGAGACCTGGTGTCCTTTTCTAATATGCAGGCATGCATGCATGCAGAGCATTCAAACTGAAAAACAGAAAAAAAAAAAAAGGCTAAAAAAGAAAAAGAAATCAAGTAAAGTACTGGGGATGCGATTCAGTGGGAGAGCAGGGAGAGATTAAGAAGGGACAGCAGGGAAGGGGGAGAGAAGAGGGCAGAGGGAGGACATTTCACAAATAGAATTAAAGTTTCTGTGAATTTCTCCCCGCAGAGTTCCCTTCCCCCAAACATCACTTCCTCAGTTAAAGTCCTGAATTTGGCATTCAGTGCTTTAATGCATTTTCCCTTTTTCAAATGTATATTGGGATGGTGTGCCTGTGTGTTTGCATGCTGGAATGTGTATGAGCATGTGTGTTCATGTGTGAAGAGGCTCCAGGCTGATGTTGGGTGTCTTCCTCAATTGTTCTCTGCCCTATATATGAGGAAGGGTTCTCCCTGAGCCCAGGACTCTCTGTTTTGGTTAGTCAGCCTACTGTGGGGACCCTCCATCCCTACCTGCCACAGCCTAGGATTACAGGTGGACCTCACACCTAATTGCTTTTTGTTTTGTTTTGTTTTTAGAGACAGGGTTTCTCTGTGTAGCTTTGTAGACCAGGCTGGCCTTGAACTCACAGAGATCCGCTTGCCTCTGCCTCCCCAGTGCTGGGACTAAAGGTGTGCACCACCACCGCCCTGTCCACCTACTTGCTTTTAAGTGGGTACTGAGCATCCAATTCCAGTCCTCACATTTGACAGAAAGTGCTTTGCCTACTGGGACATATCTCTAGCCCTCATGTGTCCCCTTTTAATTTAAAACTATTTTATTTTATTTTTAGATATATATTTATTTACTTTATGTTTGAGTGTTTTGTCTTTATGTATGTGCCCAAGGAGATCGGGAGGGGGCATTGGGTCCCATGGAACTGGAATTATGGATGGCTGAGTCACCATATGAGTGCCTGTGGGCCTTATCCTAGGGCATTAGATCCCTGGAACTGGAGTTATAAGCAATTGTAAGCCACCATGTAGGCGCTGGAACCCAAACTCAGGTCCTCTGCAAGGACAGCAAATGCTCTTAATCACTAAGCTATCACTCCAGCCCCACATTATTCTTATTTTGTGTGTATGGGTGGTTTTGCCTACATGTATGTTTGTGTAACATGTGCATGCAGCACCAGCAGAGTCCAGGAGAGGGCATCAGATCACCTTACTGATGGTTGTGAGGCACCATGTGGATGCTGGGAACTGATCTGAGTCCTCTGCAAGAGCAACAAGTGCTCTTAAAGAATGAGCCATCTCTCTAACATGTTCATTTGTTTTAAATAAGATGCCATTTTGCCTTTTCCAAGCAATATCTGGATATATTCTAGGTTGTGGCAAAGGGGTAGAAAGTGATACTAGTATTTCCTGACATGGGGGCCAGAGAAGCTGCTAAATAATGGCCCCCCTTCCTACACAGCACACACACACACACACACACACACACACACACACACACACACACACAATCAAAAACTGTTCTTACTTGGTTACAGCCCTTCCTAGCATAAAACATCTGTTATAGTGAGGATCCAGAATGCCTCCCAAAGGCCCATGAGTTAAAGTAAAGCCTCAGTCCAGTCCCTGGTGTATTTGAGAAGTGGTAAAACCACTTAAGAGAGGGAACTTCACAGGCATGCCTTCAAAGGGGGTCATGGAACCCTGGTTCGTTTCCCAGAGCTCCTTTTCACTTCCTGGTCATATGTGCTTATGGTGATATATTATTTATGATTTATTAAAGCTTGCCTCCTCAGGCAAAAAGTCAGCCACAAGCCATAGAAACCAGGCACACACCTTTAATCCCAGAAGTCAGAAAGCTAGGTGGTGACCTTTAATCCTAGGACTCAGGATTAAGAGGTAGATGGCTCTCTGTGAGTCTAAGGCCATCCAGATTACACAAGATTGATCCAGTCCTAAAGAGAAACAGCTTGCACAAAGGTGATCTCAGCAGCTGGGACCACAGGCCTTTAATCCCAGCATTAGAGAGGTATATAAGACAGGAGCAAGGTCTCAGTATCAGGCATTCATTCTCCCATTAACCTCTGAGCCCCCCACCCCATCCCCAGTCCATCTCTGAGAGTCTCACAACCTGCATTTGAAGCTAAGCACTTTCTTGCTTACCGTCCGGGAATGGGAAGGAGCCTGACGGAGTTCATGTTTGACCAGCCAGTTGCTGAGCAATAGCAGAAGGAAGAGGAAGCCAAGCAGGACTGGTTTAAAGCTTATCAGCCAGGCCAAAACTGCTCCTATGGCACCAGAAGAAGCAAGAAAGCCATGGAAACTCCTAAGAAGAAATACCAAGTCACTCAGCATTATGGCACAGAGGGGCACAGGCCCAAGCCCCCTGCTGAAGTCCCCTCCATGACAGGAGGCACAGCCACCCACTCCTCTGATTCATAACCAGCTCCCCACCCCCACCCCACCCTGGCTGTCGCATAACAATAAGTACCCCTATGTCTTAAGGGCCCACTGTGTGCCAGGCTCTCTGGCAGGCAGCTTGCAGGCACCATCTCAGGACCTCCTGGTGGCAGCCAAGTGATGTACCTCCCTCATTGAACATTTCTGGGTGCGCCCTGTAACAAAACAGTCAATGCCACAGACCACCTGTTCTCATAAAGGGAGAGACATCGAAGAAAACTTATCCATACCATGGAGATAAGGCAGACAGTGCTGTGTGCACTTTCATAGTCATGCTAACATACTGTCAATAAGTCCATGGAGGTCATATACTTGATTTACTTTGAAAATTACATGTATTTGTTGTTTGTGTATGTGTGAATGCATGAGAACAGTCTACCATGTGGGTCTCAGGGATCCAACCCAGGTTGCCAGGCTTGTCAACAAGTGTCTTTATCTACCGAGTGGGTACTTCTGCTTATTTTCGGTTTTAGTTATTTGTGTGTGTATGTGGAGGCTAGAGAACAAACCTTGGCTATTGTTCCTCAGGAGCCACCCACCTTATTTATTTATTTTAGGTTTTGTTTGTTTTTGTTAATTTTTTCAATAAGGGTTTCTCTATGTCGCTTAGGAGCCTGTCCTGGAACTAGCTCTTGTAGATCAGGCTGGCCTGATCTACTCACAGAGATCCTCCAGCCTCTGCTCCCTGACTGTTGGGATTAAAGGCATGCACCACCATCACCTGGGTCTCTCTCTGGGACTTGGGGTTCACTAATTTGGTTTGAATGGCTGACCAGCAAGCCCCAGGGATTCCCCTGTCTCTACCTCCACAGTGCTGAGTGTACACCACCACACCTAACTTTTTACAGGGGTGCTAGGAATTGAACTCACGTCCTTGTGCTTTCATGCTGAGCACTTTACAGATGGAACCACCTCCCCAGCCCTTAAGTAACTTCTTAATGTTGATTAGTGGCCTTACTCTGTAAAGTTTAGGTACAAGTTTGCTAACTGTGCTGGATAATTTTATGTCAACCTGACACAAGCTAAAGTCTTCTGAGAGGAGGGAACCTCAATTAAGAAAATGCTTCCTTGCTGGGCAGTAGTGGTACACACCTTTAGTCCCAGCATTCAGGAGGCAGAGGCAGGTGGATCTCTGTGAGTTCCAGGCCAGCCTGGTCTACAAGAACGAGTTCCAGGACAGGCTCCAAAGCCTCAGAGAAACCCTGTCTCAAAAAAACAAACAAAAAACAAAAACAAAATCCCTCCTGAAGATTAAGCAGTAAGCAACAAATCTGGAAGGGATTTTCTTAATTAGTGACTTATGGGGGAGGGACCAGCCCATTGTGGGTGGTGCCATCCCTGGGCTGGTGTCCTGGGTTCTATAAGAATGCACCCCACAGAGAACAAGCCAGTAAGCAGCACCTTTCCTGGGCCTCTGTCTGCATCAGCAGCTGCCTCCAGGTTCCTACCCAATTTGAGTTCCTCTCCTGACCTCATTCAGTGATAAACAGTGATGTGGCAGGATAAGCCAAATAAACTCTTTCCTACCCACGTTGCTTTTGGTCATGGTGTTTCATCTCAGCAAGAGTAACCCTAACTAAGACACTGACTTTTTTGTTTTATTTGTTGAAATCGATATTTTTATGCAGCCAGGCTAGTCTAGAATGTGTGGCCGTCCTGCCTCAGGCTCCCGTGTGCCGGGATTATAGGTATGTGCCACCATGCCTGGCAGATGCTAACTTTTTAAAAGTGGATAAATTAGCTGCCCCACTTTGAGAATTCCCTAAAAGAATTGGGAGGATGATCCTTTAAAAAAAATTAAACATAATTACACCATTGTTTATTTACTTATTTATTACAATACTGGAGATTTAACCTAAGCCCTCATGCATGCTAGGCCATTGCTTTACAGTTTGACCTATATCCCCTATGTGTGTGTGTGTGTGTGTGTGTGTGTGTGTGTGTGTGTGTAGGCCAGAGGTCAACCGTGGGTATCATTCATTCCTTGAGCCATCTACCTTGCTTTATGAGAATGGATCTTCTCATTTACCTGACCTCTCCAATCAGGTAGATTGGTGGCCAAGAATCCCAGGAATCTGCCTGTCTTTCCCTCCCCAGTACTGAATTATAAGTGCACACAGCTACATCTGGCTTTTTTACATAGGTTCCCGGGATTGACCACATGTCCCCAAGCCTGTGCAGTGAGCACTTTACCAGCTGAATTGGATTCCCAAACCCCATCTCTCCACCCTGCTACCTCACTAAGTTACAAAATCACCTTGAATTCTGACTGAAGTCCAGGCTCAGTTGCAAGCCTGTACCTGTCAGAACCAGTTTCAAAAGCAAGGACTTGGAGCGATAATTATACATCCATGTCCACAGCAACATTATTCATAAAAAACAAGAGGTAGCCGGGCGTTGGTGCACACCTTTAATCCCAGCACTCGGGAGGCAGAGGCAGGTGGATCTCTGTGAGTTTGAGGTCAGCCTTGTCAACAGAGTGAGTTCCAGGACAGCCTCCAAAGCTATAGAGAAACCCTGTCTTGAAAAATTAAACCAAACAAACAAAAAAACAAGAGGTAAAGCCAAGTGAGGTTGCATAGCCTGTGACTCCAGGTGAAGGTAAAAGGATTAGGGATTCAAGGCCATCCTTGATTATACAGCAAGCTGAAGGGCATCTTAGGACACTAAGATCCTGTCTCAAAAAAAAAAAAAAAAAAAAAAAAAAAAAAAAAAAAAAAAAAAAAAGGTGTGTGTGTGTATCATTGAAGTGGCCCAGTAGGTAAACCTGAACAACTGAGTTTAATCCACATTATGGAAGGGGAGAACTGACTCCTGCAAGTTGCCTATGACTCCATACTTATGCTACAACAGACAGACACACACACACACACACACACACACACACACACACACCACATTAAAAAAATTTTTAGTTACCTATTTTTAAGATGGGGTTTCTCTGGCTGTCCTGGCACTAGCTCTGTAGACAAGGCTGGCCTTGAACTAAAAAAGATCCACCTGCTTCTGTCTCCCCGAGTGTTGGGACTAAAGGCATGAACCATTATGCCTGGCTTTAAAAGCTTTTTAAAAATAAGGAGAAGGAATAAAAGTCAAAAGTTTGAAGCAAAAAACTTTGCATTGATAAATGAATGGATAAATCAAACCAAATGGGAGCTGGAGGCGTAGTTCAGTGATACAGTGCCTGCCTACAGTGATGGTCAGGGTTTGTGGCTGAACCTAGACTCGCCACTAGGGGAGTATTTTCACTATGTTCATTAACGTGGGAAGACTGGGCAGCTCTGGGCAGAGCCTTTCCTGTATAAGGTGGAGAAAGGGAGCTGAGCAGCACATACATTCATCACTCTCTGCTTCCTAACTGTGGATGTGGGGAGGCCAGTTTGCTCTAGCTGTTGTGACTCCCCTATTCTGATGGTGTATCTTGAACTGTGAGCTAGTTCAAATTTATAGAGGCAGGAAGTAGAAGAGTGGCTGCTAGGCCCCAGAGGGAAGGGAGAGTAATGTGCTTACATTTTTGGATATGATGTATTTTATGATGGGAGAGCAGGGTTTAGCTAGCACCAAGCACCCTTCTCCATATTATTAACCCTTCCCTAAATTGCTCTCATCTCTTACCCACAAACTCATCTCCGTTCCCTCAATATAATTCTATCACAGTCACTGATGTTGTTGATTTTGGTCAAGCCAATGTACTTCATGCGAGACATTTGTTGTATTGATTACATTTTTTTCTTACATAGCTTTTTAAAAAGGTCTGTTCATGTAGTTCAATTAGTTTTGATGAATACACACACCCCTGTAGACATCACCCTAATTGCAGTATGGAATTTCTTCCCAGCAAACTACTGTTTTGCAGTCAACTTTCCCACTGTGGAAGAATTAAATAAACTATGTGTAACAGGGCACCAGACTTGAGTAGCCCCTGGGGCCCTACCTAAAATAACTGACTCCATGGTAGAAAGTACCATTCAGGCTGTAAAATTCCACACACAGAAAGCACTGTCTGCCAAAACTAAAACAAAGGCCTAATCTATCAAAGTCCATAGTTTTGGGAAATGTACTAACCTTGCTTTTTGGCTTTTGTAGATCTGCTTCTGGCTAACTGTTCTTGTTAACTGAAGCATGTCAATCCAGGACATGGTTTTTGTGCTTGAATGTTCACCCTGAGAAAGGCTCAGGGCTACTGCTGGGATCCCAAACACCCAGTCATTGCCAGCAGGCTGATAAAGATTTTCTAGTAGCTTAAACTCACTTCTGAACAGTCTTCCCTGGTGATTTTATCCCCACAACATCACCTGTCCTCAATACCCCATACGTCTCAACATTCCACGAATAAAACACCCACCACCACAACATTAGAAAGAACTGACTTAGGCAGAAGAAGTGTTACATGCCTGAAGATGAGGGACACGGAGGAGGCCTGGTGTGTGTGTGTGTGTGTGAGTGTGAGTGTGTATGCAGATAGTGTGCTGACCCAAGAAACAAAATAAACAAGGCTTGGTGGCAAGAGAGAGTGTACTTTGACTCAAGCCATGATTTACTTATTTCTCTCTATTTTATTACTGTGGAAATTTGAGCACTCTTTGTTTTTCTCCCAGTCCAAGTTGGGCAGTTAAGAAGTTAGTTTTCTATAGTCCCCCAGCACTATGGATAACCCAGGGCCATGTACATGCTAGGCAAGTGCTCTAAAGATGAGTAACACAGCGTAGGATAATTAAGCCATCATTAGTTAAGTCATCCGTCTTGGTGTTCCTCTGTCTCACTTAGAGGTGGTAAGCTCTCTGTAAGCCACAACGCCATAATGCAACCCTTGTTAGAATTAATGGTGTTGGTTGACTCCCTACCGCAGGGGGCGCTCTACGTCGGCCTCGCTCTCGGAGCTCCGGCTCCGCTCTAGCCTCCAGGACGCTGCTCTGTGTCTGTGAGGAGGCCGGGAAGAGGGGCACAGCTGCGGCTTTTTGTCCTGGCGCGGCGGGGGCGCGCAGGGCGCGTGCGCACGCGGTGGTGTCTGGCGTCTCCCCGACCGTGTGAGGTGCGGAGCGGGAAGGCTAGGCGGCTGCGGACCCACGGAGCGGCAGACCGAGCGGCCCCTGCGGCCGGCGGCGGCCAGGC